AAAAAAAAAAAAAAAAAAAATCTTAGGGATCATCTAGAAACAATGTGCTCAAGATGCTAGGTACCAAATTGTTACAGACACCCCCTTTCCTACATCGAAGGAGCAGCAGAGGGTCTTTGATTCCATTCTTTAAAATCCTTGTCATATAATCATGAAGAAAGTGGCCTTCAAAGGGAAATGCTTAAGCCGCCAACACCATAAGATGATCTGACTTCTATCATTTGTGTTCATCTGAATTCAACTATCAAGCAGTAGCAGGGTTCTATATTAAATGTTCAAACTACAGTTAAAATAAGAAACATCCTCCTAATGTCTCCCTTGTGGTGATTACCAATCCAGGTAGAAAAAGCTCAGCCCTACCCTGGACATGTTATTGAAAAGTCTGAAATCACAAAGTCACAGCAGGATGATACCTGTGTAATGAATCATAGGACCTGTTGTCAAAAACAATCTGATTTTTCCTTGGAGAATCCCGTCTATGAAGGGGAAAAACCATTTAAAGGGTATACAATAGAACTTTAAAAGATAATTCCCACGACGCTACTGATTTATAGGCTTTTAGTTACAGCAAGCAAAACAAAAATAAAAGGTGTTAATTATCCTTAAAATATCAATTTTACTACATTTTAAATTTTGGTGCTAATTTACATGACACAATGGCTACTCTTGTAGGCTGCAGCTACCTACTTACCAAGGATCAAAACACAAGCAAAGACATCCCTATTCAGTAAATATCAAAGCAACAGACTGAAAAATATCCGTAGCTTGATGTATACAAAACTAACTATTCCCAGGCATGTAAAGAACATTTCCTCCCATCATGAATATAAAGTCAGTAGATTTTTAATGAAAACCATAGGAACATTCCAATATTAGATATCATTCATCTCAACGTATTTTTACCACAACACTCTTACCTACAGTTAACTCAGAAATAAGTCAGTCCTGTTTGTTTATGGACACTATCTTTCTTTGTTTTTGGAGACAGGATTTCAGTAGACCAGGCTGACCTCAAATTTAGTAAGTAGATGAATATAACCTTGAACTTTCTTCTGTCTCACCCCCAACCCCTACACCTCAGTGGATTTTAAGTGTATGCTACCATGTCCAGTTAGTTCATGCAGTGCTGACACTGAACTCAGGCCTCTGAGCATATTAGGTGTGCATTCTGACAACTGAGCCACAACCCGAGAGACAAAGAGAGTGTGGTGTGTGTGTGTGTGTGTGTGTGTGTGTGTGTGTGTGTGTGTGGTGTGTGTGCATTCTGACAACTGAGCCACACCCCGAGAGACAGAGAGTGTGTGGTGTGTGTGTGTGTGTGTTGGGGGGGTGTAGGCCAGAGGTTGATGACAGGTGTTTTTCTCAACTGCTCTCTCCATTTTATTTTTTGGAAACAGGGGCTCTTGACTGGTCAGCAAGCCTATCTTTTCTAATTTGACTATGATTAAAAATGTTGGTTTTAATATTTCTGGATATTTATTACTTTTTGATTGATTTGATTTTTTAAGACAGGGTCTCACTATGTAGTCTTACCTGGCCTGGAACTTACTATGTAGTCTAGTTTGGCCTCAAACTCAGAGATCTGCTTGCCTCTGTCTCATGGATGTTGGGATTAAAAAGCGTGCACTACCACACCTAAATTATTTATTTTCTGAATTACATGCAAATGGGTGTTTTGTTTACACCTATGTCTACATGTGCATGCAGTGCCTTCACAGGCCAGAAAACAGCATTGGAACCCCAGGAAATGGAGTTACGGACAGTTGTTGGCTACCATGTGGGTGGCTAGGACTTGAACCTGGGTCTACTAGAGCAACCACTGGGCTACCTCTCCAGCCCACAATTACAGGTTTCAACTGAGATACAACAAATATGTACCTTTTTTTTTTTTTGCTCTCTTACATTCTTTGTAATCCTTAGCTGAATTTCAATATAAAATATAAGAGTTTCTTCTAAAATTATATTTTAAAAACTATGTAGAGACTAATCGGAGAATTATTGGTCAAAGCTCTATCAGATTTTCATTACTGTTCCATGTTTAATTGTTCTGGGGCAGTAATTCTATTTTGGTTATGTTGGAGATGCCCTAGGTTCTTTGGGAGGCTGTCAAAAATATTTAGGTTAAAACACCATTTACTTGCAAGTTTCTTTCAAACTATTAAGAGAAAAAAATTATGGATGCAAAGACATAAGACATGTAAGTCTGTTAAATTTGGGTGATAGTTGCATTTTAATATTTGCTGCACTACTGTTTTCTTTTAATTTGAATAAAAAAACAAGTTAAAAGGGATAAAAATATCCTAAAATATCGAAAAATCTGATTAACAAATGTGTCAGCAGAATTTATCAGATAATCAGGAGTAGCAAAAATATGAATCCAGTAGTTGTTCAATATATGGCTCATAGGTGCTTTTATGTTTTCCTTTGTACAACTAAAAACTTTCTATGACGACATGTATTAACTTCTCTTTAGACACATCTATAATATAAAACAGAACAAATCCGTACCTGGAGATGACAGGCGACTTACTGCCATTCATTGTGTTTGTTCTTTCCCAGGGTTTTCTGGTCGGTTCTTCACAAACGAGAAATAAGTGTTATTAAGCAAACACACCTCAGATCCTTCCAGAACCATTGCAAAACAAGGCACGAAAGAACTACCATTCTATGCACACAGTGGTAATACATATACAAAATTTAAATTCTGAACAGCGAGGACTCTAAATTGTATGATTTTAAAACTTAAAACAGAAATTCAGGAGGTAGAGGCAGGAAGAGCTCTGAGTTTGAGGCTATCCTGGTCTTCAGTGAGTTCCAAGCAGCCAAGACTACATAATGAGACCCTGTCTAAAAGCAAGTTCCAGGAAAGGCACAAAGCTACACAGAGAAACCCTGAAAAAAAAAAAAAAAAAAAGCAAAGCAAAACAAAACAAAACAAAAAAAGAAAAGTGAGAAGAAATGAGTAAGCGTCCTTAAAACCCCTTACATTATAAAATCTAAATAACCCAAATGAGAGTGGTGATAAAGATGATGCAGAGAGGATGCCTTTAGCGATCAGCACAGTTTACACTAGACTCCAACGTTTCACATACATTCAAACAGCTCTCGGGAATCAGTCAATTCTAGGGACTTAGGGGACACGGAATGGACACGGGCTGTGAATGTGATTTTTCTAAACTGGCCGATTCACTGATGCTGTGTCACTGACCTGACTGGGTGACTTGATAAAATCAAAAGTGAGACTTTGTCACAGAGGAAAAGCATTTGAGTCACATTCAAATCAAGTTTATCTATGAGTCATGCTCCCACTATATACTTTTATATAAGAAACTTTGTTTCATCTTCTACTGTCTCTCTTCAAGTGGCTTCTGCACATCTTCACTCAGAAGGAAGCTTTATAGTCCCTTCGAACTGTATGCCAACTAAATTTAAACTCCCTTGAAGCCCTGCTTCGGGCTCTGAATTGCTGGTACCAAGGGAAGAACCTTCAACTCATCTCCCTGTACTCCATCATCATTTAATTTTTCCTTAGGTATGGAAACAGCTAAGGCATTCTGTCAATGAACACATGAACGGCAGGTTCCAGAGTTAGTAAGGGAACATCAAAAAACCAGAGGGGGCCAAGATGGAGTAAGAAATACATCAAACACACTAATCCAAGTAATGGAGGATGGAAGAAATACCAGGAAGGGGGCGACACCACTGAGACACTGTTACCACAGAGATGCAGGTAGAACGGTGAAAATAGCTAAAAAATTTTAAGATTCAGTACCAACATCTCCTTAACAGATGAGTGAGGTCCTCTCAATTAGGGAGAAGCCCCTGTTAATCTCTTTTTGTTCATCTGTTTTGTTGCTTGAGACACAGTCTCTCACTGTAGTTCAAGGTAACCTGGGATTATATACAGAGTCCAGGCTGGTCTCTAACTTGTGGCAATCCTCCTGCCTGTTTGCCAAATGCTGGAATTGCAGGTAAGTGTTATCATGCCTGGTTACTGTTACCCTTTTAATCTTTGTTGTTGTTGTTGTTCCCCGCCCCCACCCCCCAGACAAAGTTTCTCTGTGTAACAGTCCTGGCTGTCCTGAACTCTTTCTACACCAGGCTGGCCTCGAAATCAGAGATCTGCCTGCCTCTGCCTCCCGGGTGCTGGGATAAAAGGTACGTGCCATCACTGCTTGGCTACAATGTCAATTTTAAGAATTGAATGAAACAGATGAAAAAGGAGCTCTACACCTTTCTAAATGAAATCCTGATTTCATATATGTGGATTACAAACAACTGAAATTATTATGAAGATAATAATATTACAAGCTCCATTTAGAGAGAAACCAAGGTGAACTGTGGAAAACTAGTTCATGGAGTCACAGTGTTAATGACAGGAGTAAGTCAATGCAACGTCAAAAGGATTTTTTTTGGAGTGGGAAAATGAGCCAAGAGGAAAACCCACTACCGTCACTTTCATACAGCAGCATAATTTCTAACTATACACTAAATACTTTTCTTTATATCCACAGATAAATACAGCTGCCACCTTTTTCTTCCCCCAACAGATGGAAACCATTACAAGGATCCACACTGTGCAGAGAATAAGTGACTGACTTGTGTGGCGCCACGCCCAGCTAATACAGCTGCTCTACACACCTATCTCTCAAGTTCAGGAAAGTCACAGCTGAGAGGGTGAGAAGCTTCTAAGAGCCAGAGGACCAGGCCTGATGCTGATAGGATCCTCCAGACATGACAGGGAAGCTGTATCCAGGACATCTCAGCAACATGGTTACTTGAACAAGACCAGCACAGTGACATCACCAGCTGACATGCCAACACAGACCGGTAATTCCACGTGGCGAGACCCCAAACAAAGAACTACACGTAGTCAATGGCTGCACAGAAAGGGAGAGTTTGTTTCCCTAATTGAAAATGTTTTGAAATATATTATAATGCAGCCTAATATGTACATTTCATTTCTTCTTCTAAGAACTGTGGTGGTATTGTGTTCCCCAACATATTGTGCACCCTAATAAACTTATCTGGGGTCAGAACAGAACAGCCACTAGATATAGAGGTGAGAAAATTGTGGCACACACGCCTTTAATCCTATCACTTGGGAGGCAGAGATCTACCTGGATCTCTGTGAGTTCAAGGCCACACTGGAAACAGCCAGGCATGGTGACTCACACCTTTAATCCCAGGAAGTGATGTCAGAAAGCAGAAAGATATATAAGGCGTGAAGACGAGGAACTAGAAGCTTTTAGCCTGGTTAAGCTTTTAGGCTTTTGAGCAGCAGTTCAGCTGAGATTCATTCTGGATGAGGACTCAGAAGCTTCCAGTCTGAGGAAACAGGATCAGCTGAGAAGTTGGCCAGGTGAGGTATCTGTGGCTTGTTCTGCTTCTCTGATCTTCCAGCATTCACCCCAATACCCAGCTCCAGATTTGTTTTTATTAATAAGAACTTTTAAGGTTCGTGCTACAAAGAACTGTTTAAAATAGTACCCTGTAATGAATAACCTCATGTCTATAACACAAAGAACACACATACACACACACTATATTTGCCAAGGCAGCATGAGCAAAAATGTCGGTTTTAACAGATTTCACAGTATCAGGAAGAAAAGCATTGATTTCTGAGATCACAGAAGGCAGGAAAAAGGTCACTGCCTTCAATTATACATAAAGCACTTTAACGTTTTTGGTGAGCAAGCAGTCACTTGGTCCAAACATGGGAAAAGAGACTTTAATTGGACAGTATTAGCATTTAGGGAGTGTTCTCCTGAACTTACCAGGTGTACTTGTTGAAGAGGCCTTAGAAGTTACAGGCTCCGAATCTTCCTAAATAAATATACAGAAACAGTCACACTAACATCACATCACATCACCAGAGATACTACTCTCTGCAGCTAGGTTTACAAGCTCTCCTCCCATGGTCCTTCTGCCATCTACCTCGTTTTCCTTACATTCTGGCTCACACTGCTTCCTTCTCTCCCTACTGTCTTCACAAAGCTCCTAATATGTGCATTCCATTTCTCTGGTAAGTCCTGAGAACCTGTACTAAGCCATCGCTAGGAACCTGATACGAGACGGATTTGAGGAATGTTACAAAAGGAGGCCAGATGGCCCAGGGAAAACAATGATGGCTGTGTTGAGTGCCAGCACAGAACAGGTGAGAGAAGTTCCCCCAGCTGAAATGTGGAGGAGGACATGGAGGGGAAGGGGCACAGCTAATAAACACAGGGTTCTCAAGGGTGACACATCAACTGTTGTTTTAATATAGTTCTTTACTCTTACATTAGCACAAAGAAATTGAGAAGCTTAACAGATTAGAAAACTCGTAAGAACCGACTCACTCACTTAAAGGTGGGTGTAAGAACAGAAGTAACTTTGTATGTTTGAATTTCAGTACTTCTCCACAACTCTCCATACACAACTCAATTCACTAAGAATGAGATTGTAATTTTATCCGTAACACTCAAGGCATTTTTAATACTTGTCTAGTTAGAAATGAGATAAGCAGACAAGCTCAAGTGAATTAAGTTCAGACTAAGTCATCTTTACATGAGTGTTTCAATAAGGTGGGCTGGAGTCCCGTATCACAAGGTACAGAGGTTTTATGTTCACTTACACTTCTGTCTTCTTTTTGTTCTGTTTCTATGGTTGACCCTTTTTCAGCAATTCTTCTCCTGGAAAGGCAAATTGATGAGAAATTTTTATGTCACCTACCTACCTTTGACTGCCTGCCTGCCTGCCTGTCTGTCTACTCTTGTTCTAAGAACGAAGAGGACAACATCATCAAAGTGTCCTTGACTCTGGACATACCCACTACAGTCATGTGTCTCACCTCCTGGCCAGCAGGGCACTCATCTCCTCCATTAAGCCGCTACCCCCTAGAGGAAGGGGTCCATTCCCACGACCAGCATCTGTTTTGGATGAGGCCAAGTTCACACCCACAGTACTCCCTCCACTTGGGAAAGAGCCATCCTCCACCTTAGTGAGAACACACACATAATAATTTCCTATGTAGATAATGTTTACTAACATATTCAAAACAGAGGAACACATCATTATTGATTTAAAAAAATATTTTTTTTAAATTTGAAGAACCAATAGAGTGAATAACGTTGACTTTATATAAATGGGAATTCTGTTAAAGATCACAGATAATGGGAAAACAGAATTGCCTTTCCATGTGATACACTGAAAAAGACACAATCCTGATGGTATTTCTTTTTACCCTCATCCCAAATATATAATCTGAATCGAATACTAAGGGGGAAATATGATAAACTAAACTCAAAGATAATTTTAAAAAATAACTTTCAGTGATTTTAAAAGGTAATAAAAATTGAGGAACTGTCACAGGTTAAAATAAGAGACATTACAATTAAATTTAACAAATGATTTTGAACTAGAAAAAAATATGCCACAAAAATTATTAGCTATCCCCCTCCAGATTTACACTGAGATAGAAAAATCAGAACATGGTATTTTTGACTTACTCTCAAACCATTTAGAGACTGTGTGTGGCAAACAAGATACACTCAAAGAAAGCGAGACAACAGTGGTGAAATGTTAACAGTAAATCTAGAGACGATGGGGTCTCAGAAACTCTTCACACTAACCACCTTTACACCTGTTCTTAAATTTTACATTAGGTTGGTTTTGAACCAGTAAAGTTAGTGATGGGTTCATATCAGCAGAGCACAGTAATTCCACTGGTGTAGACACTTAGGAACAGTTAGACACACGTTTGGAGGTTCAGTAGCTTGGTGATTTACCCGAGACACTTTCCTAAGTTTGGCTCCCGCAATCGCAGCTGCAAGTCCAGTCAACGGGCGATTGTCTTCTGACAGGGGTCCAGAGGAAATTCCAGATGCAGGGAGGGGCGGGGCGGGAGGGGGCGGAGGAGGGGGAGGAACTTGATTAGGAAGAGGGGGTGGGGGAGGAGGTGGAGGAGGCCCAGTAGATGGCAGTGGAGGTGGTGGAGGTGGCCCAGGGGGGGGAGGAAGAGCTGAGGCATAGGTAGGGCCTGTTGGGAGGGGTGGGGGTGGGGGAGGTGCAGGTGGTCCCAAGACAAGGCCTGAGAGGAAGAAAAGCCAACACAGCCGTCGTCAGCAGCAGAGCTAAATCACTGTTTTACAGGAGCAGATAGACAGAATGACATTCTAAAGTGAGCTGACTCAGACACTGCACACAAGAGATTAATTTATCATAATACTTAAAGTCTAGACTAGTTCTTAACAAAAGAGACAAGAATTGAAAGCCAAAGTGTATACACAGCCATTTAGTGTTTGACCCTTAGTAACAGAACCAAGGAGACCCCTTCCAAGGGATCTGAAAACTAAGGCTTACATTATTTTAGCAAAGTATGCAATGTTCAATGTTACACACACACACACACACACACACACACACACACACACACACACACACACACGAGTTAGTACTGCCTAAGATAACAGACCCAAGATAATCCATGTAAAACCTTCCATGCTGAGATAATATACTTAACTATGATGACAAAAAGATGTTTGTTTACAGACAGATGAAAACTGTAGAGAAGTGGGTCTCGGGTTTTAGTTTCTTAGAGGGATTCTAGATGTAAATTTAACACATAGTCTAAGTTGAGAATCACTAAAGAAATAAAATGAACTAATATGGGGCAAAACTCCCCAAGAAATAATTAATAATTTAAGTATAGAGCTGTTTTAGCCCTCAAGGTAGGAATATAAGTATTCAAATCTTGTAAAAAAAAAAAATCAGAGTAAAGAATTTACTTAACATCAAAATACCAAATTAATGAGTATTTACTTAAGACTCAAAAGGGCCAATCTTTGCTTCTGTAAAGACAGAATTGAGTTTGCACACTGGGTAGTCGCTGTCACTTCGGAGGCACACAGAGAAATGAAGGGCTGGAGGTGAACTGTCCCGTCCTGCAGACTGGGTTCTGAGCCACAGCAGGAGGACAGGTAGCCTTGTCAGGCTGCTGGTGCCTCTTGATCAGATGTCAATCACGACATTAAATTACACATGTTCTAATTTGATTCACCTTTTAGAAAAATCTGATAAGACGTCATCAAAGAGTTCGTTTGCATCTAGACTGTAACGCTATTTCTATAAGCATGGATTTATTTTCAGCATCCTCACTACACTGGATATTCCCAAACAACAAAAAGCAGGGCCATCCTGTGTCCCCTTACAGAACTAGGTCATCTTCATGTACATCCTCCACACCTCCTGCTCTATGTCCCTTTCTTGCTGCCTTGCAGCAGGGCTTGTGTGTGGGGAAAACTTTCAAAGACTCTCTGGCGGCCCTTACACCACTACTTGCAATCTGGACCACGGAATGCTCTTGGGGCAAGCACCAAGCCTGCCAACAGCCCAGAGGCTGTCCTACCCTCTCGAAAAGTCGAACACTGAGAGCTCAATACAGAAGCAGCTAAAATGAAATGGGGTCTTAGAGCAAGTGCCCCAGGGCAAACTCTGGGATGATTTATCTGTGACACAGACTCCAACTCTCCAGGAAAGTACTTAGATCTCATATTTACTGCATGGAAGATGAACTGGCCAAGTTTTCCTAATGAAGTTTAAAGATAAATGTATTAGTATAAGGGCCCCTAAATATTAGGTAGCACCTTCTACAATTCTTACTTCAAAAGATCCAAAAACTTAAGTTTAATATGGTATCTCCCATACTAAATTGCTATATACAGTTAAGGCCCCAGGATTTAAAACAAAACAAAACAAAACAAAACAAACACCTTCAATTTTTAAAATTAACAACAAAACCCCACGTAGTACTTTGGTACAGAGATACTCAATGATTAAAAGCATCCGATCCATTCTTCTAGGCAGTCCAAGCTGTCACTACACACTACTCTGAAGTGACTAGTGGTCAGCAGCAGTAGTGAAGGAAGCCTTACCCTGTGGGGTTGGCGTCTCGGCCGGCTGAGAGGCTGCCTGCTGCAAGCCTGGCTCGGAAGCAGAGGAGTCTCCCAGCTCAGGGTTTAGAGGGGTCTCCACAGAGGCAGGGGCAGCTGCAGAGGGAGAAGGGAGAACACTGGGCTTGGATGAGGGAGTTGAGGCAAGAGGGGTGCCTGGAGGAGGAGAAGCCTGTGATCCACAGTGTGAGAGCGAAGAAGCGAGGGGAGGCAGCGGCGGTGGCGGTGGCGGCGGCGGTGGTGGTGGTGGTGGCGGCGGAGGCGGCGGCGCTGCTGGCCCTGAGGTAGGCGGTGGAGACACTGGGTATGTTACAGAGTCCAGCAGCCCATTGGGTGCTGTCGGTGACGGAGGCATTTGGGGCACGGGAGAGGAGACACAGACGGGGAGGACAGGCCTGGGGCCAGTAGCTTTACCAGGAGGGCTGCTAATCATTATCGGAGGAGATGGAGGGAGGGGCGAGAAATTGGAAGTAGACCAGGCACAGGACTTCGCAGCTGGAGGCTGAGAAGAGGGTGTGTTCACAGGAGAAGAAGGTCGAGAGTTTTTGTTCAGAGGACGAGGAACTGTGGCGTAATGGGGAAGAACAGGGTGGAAGGCTGAACCTAGAGATGTTGCAAAACGTGTCGCTGAGTGTCGCAGTGGTGGTGTAGGGGGTGTGGAAGTAGGTGGCAAAGCAGTCACTACAGCGTACTCAGGAGTGGCATCTGACACTGGAGCTGAGATGACTTTAGCATATGATGGAGGAGGTGCCGGAGGAGGCTGGCAACTGGCATACTCAGGAAGTGGAGCGCTACACAGGGAGCTGTCTGAAGATGGAGCTGGACAGAAGGTGGGAAGCAGCACCAAGGACAGGATAAAAAGGAGAGAGAAAAAGGGAGCTAGTGAAGCCACGAAACCAGCAATCAGACAAAATGCATCAACGTCGTCGACTACAGTTAGTACCAGAAAATTAGCCAAATCACGGTCTCCACTTGAGAACACTTAGCGTGTAAACACTCTGAGGCCCGAAGGAGGATGAAATAAGTCCTCTTAAATATGTGGATTAATTCTCTATCTTTCATAAGAAAAGGATAAGAAAGACTTTTCATAAGAAAAGTCTTAACTTTTATTATTTCAATCCACTAAAACAGCATCAAAATTATTACAAACAGCAGAATAAACTGAGTTGTTTCCAACCTGGCAAAATGTCTAGAACACAGGGAAAGGGCACCCAACTCAGTGCTGTGGACATTTCTATCTTCTCAGCTCTAACTCCAGGCAATCAGGCAGTTAAAAACAGTGAATTAACCAACTAGACAATACTGAACACCTACTGGCTTCTGATGTAGCTCAGAAAGATTAAAATTCTTTGATAACCACCCAACCCCTTAAGCTTTACCGTATCATAAACCTCTATGACACTGGATAAATTCCACCAGATTGCTAATTTTCACAATACCAGAAAATGCTTAAATAACTAGTTATTTTTGAGAATATTTTTTATCTGTTTTAATTTTTCCTTCAGAGACCTAACTATAACCAAGCTAACTTCTTGCTGCATGACGCATGATACACACAGTGTGTGATAATTTTAAGCGACTGCACATGGGAAATATCTTCTAAGTTCATTATATAAAAAAAATCTTTGCATAAAAACACATTCACACTTTATAGCTGAATTTTAGGGCAGCAAGAAGAATTAAAATGACAGAATAAAAATTCCCAAGAGCTTTCTTTTGGTTTCTAGGCAATAAAAGAAACACTGAAGCAATAACTGCTGAGTATTTATCCCAACTCCACGCTGCACTGCCGATCCCCACGCACGGCACGTGTGAAACATGGTAATTCCCGATTGCACAGAGCCGCGCCCAGCTCCGAGGCAGGAGACACAAGTCTGCAGGCTCCTTACCAGCATTGGACACTCTGCGCTCCCGCTCCCACTCCACTTGTTCCAGCTGCTCCAGGCGCTCTCGGTCTTGCCTCTCCCGCTCCAGGCGCTCCAGCCTCTCCCGCTCCAGGCGCTCCAAGTGTTCCCTTTCCTGGCGCTGGCGCTCCAGCTGCTCCTGCTCCAGGCGCTCCCTCTCCATCCTCTCTCTCTCTAGCCGTTCTCTCTCCAACCGTTCCCTCTCCATCCTCTCTCTCTCCAGCTCCTTCTGTCGCTGCTGTTCTTGCAGCTGCCTGAAATTAAAAATTGAATACATACAAATAGAACCTGGGCTCACTACTTCCACACAAAAGAGGGCTTCCTTACGGACGGACACCTCGTGCTTTATAGCAATGAAACGAATTCTCGACAGCCACATGGGCTCGATCCAATGGAGAGCAGCAAATAAACCTCCTACGCTAATCAGCAAGTCATTATATTAATCAGATGATGAAATAATTATAAAACGAAGTAATCTCCTTTTCTTAAAAAGGTAACATTTTGCCGGGCGGTGGTGGCACAGGCCTTTAATCCCAGCACTCGGGAGGCAGAGCCAGGCGGATCTCTGTGAGTTCGAGGCCAGCCTGGGCTACAGAGCGAGATCCAGGAGAGGCACCAAAACCACACACAAACCCTATCTGGAAAAAAAAAAAAAATTAACTGCACAAGTTGCAGTTTCAGAGAAAAAACAATGATCATAGCTATAGCTGAATAAAAATTTGCTGAATTGAAAATAAACCCACTTAAGTGAGGAATAAACTATACACCATTGAAATTTCTTAACTATAGTAACTATAGTTAACATTTTGGTATGAACATCTAGACCTTTTGTTTTATAACATTTATAACATTTTATAACATTTATAACATTTATAACATTTATAACATAATTTTCAGCCAAATCAGTGTCATTTCACCCCAACTCTGTAATCTTTTTCTTTGACACAATACATACCGGAAAAATTACCCCAAACCCTTATTCTGACATCTTCAACTGCCATGAGCATATCAACAGCATTGTTTAATTGAGTTTAAGCAGTCTCCAGTGCAGGACATAATTTACCCTGGTGTAGCCAGGACACTGTATATAATAATAAATGAATCTTTAAAGACAATTTTTTCAATAATGTGCACACAATGAAAATATTCAACTAAGGTTTGTATTAAAATTTTAATTAGGAGCTAGGGAAATGGCTCAGTTGTTGAGTACTGGCTGCTCTTTCAGAGGACCTAGTTTTGATTCCCAGCACCTACATGTTGGTTCACAATCATCTGTAACTCCAGTTCTAGAAGATCCAACACCCTCTTCTGGCCATCAGGCAAAACACCCACACACTTGAAAAATAAATTTTTAAAAAAGAAAAGTGACCACTGCTAATTTGAAAAAACGTAGGTTTTTAGGATATTTACATTTTGTGCTTCTGTCTCTTTTCATTCACACACACACACACACCCCTACATACACACATACATATATCAAGCTTACAACAAAACAAACATTAGCTTACCGGAGTCTTAACACGTCCCTACCCATTTCCTGTTTTACCTGATTCTTGTGTCTTATCTTTAGATACCCATTTTCTAATGGCAAAAGCCTTTCACAACCACCATCAACACACACACACACACACACACACACACACACACACACACACACACACAGCCATAAGAAAATAACTTGGCTAAATCAATATTCAGGGTTATACTGACATTATATAATCACTGCCCACAGCTGATCTACATGGTATTCTGACTGCAGTTCATCCCCATTCTAATTGCTGCCCCCCTCCCCCCAAAAAGGGCTGTTAACATCTGTTTCTCTAAGCAACACAATGCTTTTAACACAGAGCAAGTAGATCTTCTTAGTCATCACAGGTAAGCTCGGTATGGATGTGTGAGTCTGGAAGCAGTACTGAATAAAGACATTTATAAAAAGAACATACTGACTTCAGAAGATTGCTCCACCAGTCAAAATAATCTCCAAGGACTGCCAGTCTATTAAAGTTAGGAGTGTCTACACTAAGGAAAAAAGCACAATGCCAGGGAATACTTCCAAGTTTACTGATAGAAAACTCAAGTATACAGACGATACACCTTCAAGAGACTGATGCTTGAAGTAATGAATAGTACTGTTAGCCTGCTCACTGAAAAGATGATGTGTATATGTAATTGAAAAAAGTGTCAAGCACAAATTTTCTGACTTACAAATCCTCAGTGGCATGAATAAATGAATAATTCCTACCTATACTGAATGGCTTACAAATCTGACTATAATGTTTTAACTTACAAAGTGAGACATTCCCAAATCTTTTTAAGAAGTCTCTAAGATTATACAGCTTCCTTTCCTCAGGATCATCACTACTAGCTTGCGTACGGTAATTCATGAAGCCCTTCTTCCTGGAGATCATATACACCTAATTGGTGTCTCCACCATTAGCAGAATGACTTCCAGAGTTTACTAAAGCACAAGCGCCTGAATTCCAGGCCATGGGAAAATCCCAACAGGCTTGTTTTCTTTGAGTATAGATTTTCAATAATTTGAATGTTTCAGAGAAAACAATTACATAACCTTTCTCAGAAATAAATATAAACAAATACTATTGTGGCCATTAAAGTATTTTAAATATATTGAGTAAAAGATATAGTTTTCTTCTATCACCTAAATATTTTTCTCCAAAACAGCAGACCCCAAATGCAAACAAATGCTGAAAGAACTGGCCACAATGAAATATAAATACACACACACACACACACACACACACACACACACACACACACACACACAAACATGCATTTTTATGTTTACTTAAGACACAGTCTTGTGAAGCATGTAAAATATAAATAAAATAAAACGTCAAGACACATTTTATTCATCTTCACCTTGAATGGTGGTTTGGTAAATATAGATTTCAATTGATGATAGGGTCTCACTATGTAGCCCCAGCTGGCTTAGAACTCACACTGACCCACCAGCTTCTGTCTCCCAAGTGCTGGGATTAAAGGTATGTACTACTACACCTGGTGTAGATACATATTTTTTAATGTACAATGTGGGTATTTAATCTATTAGTTTAAAAAACAAAGCAAAAAAAGCGGGGGGGGGGGGGGGGGATGCCTTTAATCCCAGCACTCGGGAGGATTTCTGTGAGTTCAAGGTCAGCCTGGTCTACAGAGTGAGTTCCAGGACAGGCTCCAAAGCTACAGAGAGAAACCCTGTCTCGAAAAAAACAAACAAAAAAACGAAATAAATAAAATAAAAATACAGTTGAGTTTTAACGCCACAAAGCTCCAAAGCTCCTGAGACAAGAGTCAATACTTACAACAAAATCTGATCAGCTCTTGGTCCATCCTGCCTCTGAAGGATAATGGGAGTGCTGTACACTTTCATTACTCCAGTTCCTCAGTTCTGTGCTGGGATTATTATCCCTCCCCCTTTTATAACTTTCAGATAGTAGTGATGATCTGAAAGCTATTTATAGATATTAACTAAATTATTCTCTATGTTGAGACAAGCACAGGACTGACTCATGTTTCTTAGAATATATTTTTCCATCACAGCCAAGGGAGCCAAATATTAATAATGCGTAGGAACCAGAAACTGACTTAATGAATGATAGACACATGAGTAGAAACCTATATTATGGTATAACAAAGGTATTAGGTCAACAAGTTTTAATATTTAAAATAAACATTTATTTTACCAACTAACTTCATACTGATTAAAAAAAATAAACCTATAAAAGCAATGTCTAGTGTAAAACTCAAACAGCATTACAATGCATCTTACCAATACTCATTATTTCTGGTTTCTTTCCATAGAAGTAATTAAGTTTTCAATATTCTTGCATTTACTTCATGTTTCTAAACACAGCAATTTATTTAGAAACACTTCTTCGACTAGAGAGATGGCTCAGTCATTAAAGGCTAGGCTCACAATCAAAAATATAAGAAATATTCCTTCTTGATTTTCCTTGCTCATCCATCATACTTATTTCCCAAGGAAATTTTCTAATATTTTCCTAAGCTTTTTCCCACCTCTATAGCACCGCATCAACCCTATGTATCCTTTATCACTTCAAGCTCTCAATCAGAACTGTAATCCAACTGCTTTATATGGTTCAACATGTCAAATGCTCAGGTTTCTTATTCATTGTATTCTCCTTCCCTTCAGACAAATGCATCAAGAGGCCACAGGCTTCCTGATTCCAAGCAGGGAGGCTATTTCCAGGCTATGAATTACTCTTTCAAGTTCAATCCCTCTTCTCATAGATTCCAACAATGTTACACAATTCTTGATTTCTTCCCTCTTTTTAACAGACTACAACATTCAGTAGCTTCTCATGAAGCTGTGTAGAAAATAAAACTATTTTTTGAGACAGGGTCTCAAATTCAAACAGATACTAAAGGCACTGACCCACAATGAAGTTAGTATGCTCATACAAATGTATATTTATGTTCAAACACACATGTATACACAGTATCAAAATTCAGCCTTGAATTTGGAACCCCCCATCTCTGCCATCGAAGTGTTGAGAACACAGTTCTATGCCACTGTCCTTGCCTGGGAAGATATCTTAAACTGGGCTTCCTCTCAGTACTCACTAACATGAACAACAAGCAAGCACCAAAAAGAAAGGATGTGCTGGCTTCTGAACTTAGAGATCCGCCTGCCTCTGCCTCCCAAGTGCCGAGATTAAAGGCATGCGCCACCACTGCCCCGCACATGCTGCTTTTTAAAAAAGAACTATTTATTTTTATTTTATGTGTATGAGTGGGTGTTTTGTTTACTTGTATGTCTGTGCAGTGTGTGTGCAGAGCCTGCAGGAGCCAAAGGGGGGCACTGGACCCCAGCCAGAACTGAAGTTGTAGACAGCTTTCAGATGCCACATGGGTCCTAGAAGAACAACCATAGCTCTTAACCATTAAGCAATCTTTCCAACCCCATGTAAACTGTCTTAGTGATTGTGTGTGTGTGCGTGTGTGCGTGTGTGCGTGTGTGAGTGTGTGTGTGTGTGTGTGTATGTGTCTAGTCTAGCTAATTCAGAAAAATCTACCCCTAAATGAGGTTATATTATACACTTGATTTTACTAAAAGGCAGAGAAGGGATGAAACTGTGTTATAATTTCAAGTCTACCTCTAGTGCAATCCTCAGTACACATGAAAAAAAAAAAAATCCAGTACATGGTACATGTCTGTAATCCCAGAGGTGGGGATGAGGATTCCTGCAGCTTGCTATGGATCCAGTCTAGCTGAATCAGCTTGCTCTGGGTTCAGTGAAAGACTGTTTGAAAAAATAATGTGGAAAGCAACTGAAGATACCCGATGTTGCCCTCTGACTTCTACATGCATGGGTATACAGGTGCATGTGAGACACACACACTGATACTGAAAAGAAACAGTAAGGCTTACTGAAGGAAACAGACACTTTTATACCCTTAGTCTATTCAATGTATTTTTAGATGTACCACAAGTATGCTTTTTACAAAAAAGCAGATAAAACGGAAGTCACAATTTCAAAGAACTGAAGGACATAATGTATTGTCAGTGTCCTTTGGGTCTGCTGCAAAAGAAGGAAGTGTAAATGTATAGATTTACCTTCTCTGGATTTCCAACTCTTCTTGGGATGGGCCATTTTGAACTTGAGCAGGTAGTTGTGAATTTTGTCTAGGCAATGTTGGCCCTATAAGGGAGGGAAATATTATAGATGAATGTTATCATCCTACCTAGCTGGGTGGAGGAAATTAAACCATGAGAACAACATAAAACTGTCACATATTAAAAAAAATGCATCTTCTTGTCTAGCAAAATAAAATATAAGCTTTATATAACACACAGCAAATGAAAGACTGCAACATAATATTGTCATCATCTTCAGAAGGCTTACTTGAAACAAATGGAAACACCAACAATAAAGGAAAAAATAAACATTTATATATGAGGAGCTGAGTAAAACAAGTGTTCAATGAGCACCTGAATAGGCACCTGAGCTTGACATTCTCTAAGACAATGAGACAATCTGTTCAGGGTAACTGTTCATGAGGTGACGAGAAAAAACTTAAATGAAAAATCAGAATTAAAAAACTCACCTAAATAGAACACTGGAAATGAAAAACAGGAGAGAGAGAGAGCATGAGAACCTCATTACTAGACTGAAGGATGCTAATGCATTATCAAACTTGCTCAACTTAAGCTGCCATTTGTGTTTCATGGCATGGCATTTCCAATACTGGTCAAACAAGCATTTGCTAAACTCCCATATACTATATTAACCTATTTATAATCTTAACAACTTTTCATTTGAGGTTAAGAAAGACGTGGGGTGGAGGGGAAGACCCTGTGTTTACACCAACATGAACTGTCGTGAGAAATCACTGCCCATCCATTCCCACATCTACATACAATGTAGACCTGCCCTTAACATCTTAGACTGTCATTAAACTATGGGAAATCTTATTGTCACTGGATATAAAAACTAAGAGAGAGATGCATGTTGTCCCTAGTATAACATGACTAACCTAAGGTTGAGCCAGAACAACCTTGAAATCCACAACGGCAAAAGCAAGAGAGTAATGACAGTGTTCTTCCATTTTGAGAAGTGGATTTCTGGCTCCTAGTGACCCACCAAAAACACCTAGCAGGAATTCCCAGAGCTCGACAGAGCTCTACTAACACAGTAAATAAATGCTGTGTGCGCTAGAGCATGTGGTCTGGGAGTGAGGATCATGAAAGGAGCTCTTTTCTCCTAGCAGAGCAGCCCCACGGCTGGAAGCGCAAGTCCCTCAGGATGTAATACAGCACTGGCACCTCCCAGGTGGAGAGAACACGGGAGAATGACCTGAACTTACCTACGAAACTTTTCATCTCTTTACATGTTTTTAGATTAATCATTTAATTTGCCCTCTAATGGCAAGTTAGGTGGCAACTGCAGCAATATATTCCATTAGATATTAAGTCTCCGCTTTGAAAATCAAATGTAAAACCAACCCCATGTAATTAACAGGAAAAAACAAAAACACATTTTAAAATCAAAGTCAAATACACACATAAATGTTTACATAAATGAAAATATAACTGTCGTCTAATAAACAGTGTTTGGAAAATTAACACAATGACTTTAAAAAAAACCTGTCCCATTGTGCTCTACTCTCATGTTTACTATTTTATAGAGAGAAGATCCTTTCAGAAAAAGGTAGAGAGCATATGAGTTGGGAGGATAAATTTCAGAACCTATAAAATTGGGAGTATAATTTACATACCCATACTTCTATAAAATGAAAGCATTTGGCAAGGCCAACTTAAAAGACCATTATGGCTTACTGACTTTTAAAAATAACTGTTTGAGTGTTGAAGCTAAAACTTCAGCCAGTATGAATAAGGGAACAGCTGGAAGTCAGTAATCGGACTGTCATGCTCACATCCAAAGAAGGCACTGTATTTCAATGACCCCATTAATGAATTAAATCTATGTATTAGCTGAAATCTATAAATTCAAGTCAAAGATGCTAAAATTTCAATCAAACCTTCTTGATATTATCAAACACTTTTTGTTCGTTTTTTAAACTGACTCTGGGCCCAGCATGGTGGTATATGCCTGTAACCTCACCATCTGGGAGGCAAGCACAGGAAAATCTTGAGTACAGGGTCACCCTGGGCTATATATATACTTACATACTATCAACAAAACAAAACTACCCAAAAAAACCCTAACAATCCTGATATGACTCATAAAACAAACTGAATAGGGAAATTCACTACAGTCTATTCCTGGCACATGAGATGAGAAAAACTTCAAGGAATCATTTTAAAATGGGGATTTCGATCTACAAATAACTCTTATAATTCTTTGCTATGTAGCTTTATGATAATGAGACATTTGTTTTTCCAGGCATTCTCAAAATCTTTCTCTTTGGCATTTTTCACATCTATATTTAATCTGCTTATTTTGTTTTTCCTCATCAATATTGCCAAGTTGTAAAAACTAGCATATTGAAATATATGTGTAATTGAACATAATTTAATTATAAATATACTATAGTTATTAGATAAAAGTTCTAGGTAAATTATGAGCTAGAAGTACACAATTACATTTTCCTTCTTGTTAAACATTTCAAAGGGTTATAAAATTGTTAAGTTGTATCAAAACTATTACACAAACAACAGAAAGCAGAAACTCAGGTTAGGCAAGGCTTCAGTGGCTGTATTTTCTGGAATGTATATTATCTTTTCAATATTCTTAAATGAGTATCAATGTTCTCATAAAGTATAAAATAGGTACTTTCATAACCACCTCAGTGGGCCAATGACAATATTTTAACTTGTATGGTATGGAGGTGTTCAGTTATCTTTATGAAGGGGAAAAGAAGAAGCACAAGGTGCAGAAATGGGTGTCCCTGCTCTGGTCCTCCTGGAAGGGAGGAGGGCAGCTAACTGCCTGCCGGTTTGCTTTATAACCTCACATGGGTGGTCCTGATCTGCCCGAGGGTAGAAGGTGCAAAGCAGCATCTGAGAATGACTGTTCCTAATGCAGACAACAAGGCAATGCTGCTGATAAGCATCCTATAAATGATGGAAATCTGGTTTGAACTCGTTTCTCCAACAGGAATGGCATCAGTCTTGCCTTCAATGTTGAGTTTTGGTTAAAGCACATTTCACTTACTCGCCCATTTTAATTCTCATAAATCTAGTTCCATATTTAGCCACAGAGTATTGAAAAGCATAGGACTAAAATACAAGTAGGTGCTACTATATACAATACAATCAAACTCACACTTGGCAGATTGTAGATGGTACACAATCGAAGGCCGTTATAAAGGAAATCTGTTTTAACCTGTTACTTTATAAGTTTTAAAAATTCACCTTTATTAACTAGGTCAAATCACTTTTTTCCCATTAAAACTGGGTGAACTATCACTCTGCACATGGATCTCAAGCTTTCAAGCACAAAGTTACAGTATCAAGCACGTCTTCAAAATGAGCTGAAGAGAGGTCTGGTCACACAAGCCCAGGGAACCCCAGGAAAAGACACCACCAGAAGTCAAGTCACCAATCATATGCTATCTGCAGTGCTAGCTGGAGTCTGGGAGAGGGGAGGAGACATTTACAGCAAGTCATAAAATAGGCGCTCACTGCTGTGACCATCAGCTGGAGCAAATCAAAATATAACTTAGGTGACCATGAGATACATTAGAATTTTCTTTTTTCCCCTTATTTACAGCATGCTTGTGTAAACCAGTAAGCACATCAACTCAAAGAGGATTTTCCTTAAAGAAACCATATCAACAATACTAAGAAACTACACTGAAAATTCTGAGTCACATGGATAAAGTACACACACTAAACTATTAATTCAATCCCCTCCCCCCCCCCCCGCATACACCACCTTACAGTTTTTTCTCATGAAATAATCTAGTTAGTCAAGGTATATATGAGTCAAAAAGGCACACATGAATCAATAAAAAGTTCAAATAATTAAGACATTTTTTGAAACTTGGATTTTCAAAATAGAAAGATTCAGAGTCAAATAGAAATAAAAAGAATTCAAACAATGATATGTAGCTACATACTTGTCTATATAAACAATTTCCTTGTGCAAAATTTATATATATATATTTTATATAAAATATGTTTATTTTATATAAAATCTATATAAACTATAAATGATTGCTCCAACCTGGGGTGGCTAAGTGACATACCTAATTTAACCATGCAAATAATACATGTGTGTATACACATGTATGTTTATGAGAGTGAGCATGACAGAAAACTATCTATAAGCCTAGATTCAGTTCTAAGCCACAGAAGCCTAACCTACTGAATAGAGGAGGTTGTCGTCTGAAACCAACCTATGAGAAGAGTAAGTTTACATCTGCCTGTACAACATGCACATCTAGAACTCATCAAGGTAAACAAAGTTCTTTTCAAACAAGAACATTTACATTACTCAAATCATATAAAAAATGCATATACCCTTTTCTTTTAAACTAAATTGAATGTTGGCTCCCAAAGAAAATTAGAATTTAAAAAATCTCATTTATATTGGAAAAGGTGAACAAAAATAATTTGAAGATTCTATTTCTAACTAAATCCTCACTAGTAAGCCAACTCAAAACCACCTACATGAACACAACAAATATCACAACATAAAACAGAAGCTTGCTTTATATCCCAGATACCACAAACCAGACTATGGCCTAGGGACAAAAGTTATGGTAATGTGCAAGTCGTATGTACCACAGCTTGAAAAAGTAATGTAAACATAATGTTGCTTACCACAGAAAATACATCGCAAATTAGTGCTGTCCTGGGTAGCAGTAACCTTGCTCTGGGCTGCAACAGACACCTCCGTGTTAGAAGCTTCGAAAGACAATGGGGCCATCTGAAGAACTTCACATTAACTAAAAGGTGCTTTGAAATGTTCAAAATGTATTTATACATACGTCCTATCTAGATCCTCATTCTGGAAACTTTATCACTTTACAGCTTAAATATTTCCTGAGTTATACAATCAAAGAATGCAATCTGCATTTTAAGACTGTATTCTTTAAAACGTTAGTGAAAATGAAGTATAGAAAGTTAAAAATATATGGCCAATAGAATTAATTTCATGAGGTCTATCCCCCATTTATGAGAACTGCATTAAAAAAAATTCTGGGGAATTACTTAAGATTAATTTAATTATGATTGTTCACTTATATCAGCTGGAAAAAAACAAAGGCTATTAATTAAAAGGCCGTAATATATATTACTGATATGAGATTACTCTGTACTTAATAATAACTAACGAGGCTTACAGAGACACACTTTACTACTATTTTTTCCCTAGATATGAAAACATACTCGACAAAAATTAATTACTAAAAATTTTGTGTAGCCACAACAGCTAGCCATTTAACCTAAATGATTTACATTAAAATTTAGTTTATCAATGAAATAAATTCATAAATTCTTTTTAGGAAGAAAAACTCAAAGAGAAAGTGGTAATTTCTGAAAAGAGGAATGCTTTATCCAATCAAGGCAATACCCAAAATTGGGATGAGAAAAAACTTTCTATTAGTAATAACATGCAAAGGGTGCATCAATAATTTCTCAGAAAACCCTTTTCAGCAAGGCAAAGATTTTCTTTTCTTATGGGTACTACCTAAGAAAACAGTTAATGGCTTACATCCACGCTGGTTTAAGGAAGAGCATATTAAAGCGAACAAGACAGCATTTTAGTATATTCTTTAAATAAGACAACTCCTGCTAAGTAAAAATCAGAACCAAACCAATTTATATTCAAAGGCTTATCTTAATATGGTAATAAGTTATAAATACAAATAATTTTTTCATCATTTTTAGAAGACAACATAATCTAATTAAATCTTAAAGTCTTAGGTACAGTAGGTACTTCAAATACCAATAAAACTAATAATGCCAGCTTTGCTAAGTATTTCCACCCACCCATCTATTAAAGACGCATGCACAATATTTAAGTGTAGTAACATAACCCCAGGCACACAAAGGAAGACAAGCTCAACAAGCTAATGAGACCATGCTAAAGGAGATAAACATTTTAGAAAAATTACGATAATTACATTTTAAACTCCTTTATAAAAAAAAGTCTTTCTCGCTGGTGTTTATAAATGCTACCTCCACCAAATCTTTATTAGTAAACATGCCCAGTCATCAGGTTTACCCTTGAGTTCCTTTAATCCATATTAAACAGAAAAGCATACAAGGACAATTAAAAGGCTCACATGAAAAACCTGAGAAAATATCTTGTTTCTGACAGCAAAGGAGCGTCCCCATCCCATGAGCAATCATTTCAGCAGAAAGTCACCTGACAATTGTCAGAATGCAGGCATCGTTATCACTGCGGACCGTTCCCGACCGAGAACTACTGTCTTTCTCACAACTCAACTACTGAGCACTCCCCGCTTGTCATCGTTAAGCATCTTCTTTCTGGTGACTTTTATTTCTGTCAACAAGTAAAGCACTGACTGACTTTCTGACAGGGTCGCTTGAATTCTACTGCGGTTTGCATTTCCCGAAGACACTGAATTATTCATCCCATCATATCCATAAGGCTAACAGCGTCCTGCTTACCGTTGACGCCATTAACTCTTTCTTTACTGAATCTGAGAAGGTTGATTTATACAGGCAAATACATTATTACCAGTTTTAATGCTAGCATTTATCTATGAAAAGACACTTTTTTTTTTAAAGCAAGCCATACAACAGAAGCTTAGTTAGGGCTAAGGAAACCAGGGTGAAACGCATGGGAAAACAAACCTAAAGCAATGAAAATTAATCAAGAATGTAGAACTTAACATTTTATGATATTTCTGCAAGTAATATAGCCCTCCTCATCAACTCCTTTGGCCTTTTGATCTTGTTCAGATGCTCATCTGTCTCTTAATGTAATTTGTGAAACAGTTACCTTAAGGCTTTGCCCCTGCCTTTACTATTTTTTACCATTTGACTGGTTTTTTTTTTTGTTTGTTTGTTTTTTTTTTAACAAGGAAACAAAAAGACATTAAGTGAGGTGATCTGTAATGGAAAATCACAGGCTTCTTAGCTTTGATCCATCATTCTATTGCATGCATTTTATTATTACCTATAACTACTACAGCAGACCCTTAGAGCATTTGTGCTTTAAAAAAAAAAAATTAGTGAGCCGGGCAGTGGTGGCACACGCCTTTAATGTTGCACTTAGGAGGCAGAGGCAGGCAGATCTCTGTGAGTTCGAGGCCAGATTAGTCTACAGAGTGAGTTCCAGGACAGCCAGGGCTGTTACAGAGAAACTGTAACAAGGAAAAAAAAAAGAAAGAAAAAAACAAAACAAACTAGTGGTTTCTATTATTAACTATTAGCCATCTTAAGGTAATTTGTAAAGGGAACACTATCCATCTCAGCACTTTGTATTTCTAAGGATTGAGTGAGATGTTTCCTTAAAGACTGGTTTGGATTTGATTTGTCTTCCTGGAACCTAGTCACTGAGTGACAGAGCTCAACGTTATCATTTAAAGGAATGGTGTTCACACTTCTGGTCATTTCAGTAAAGACCCTCAGACTCAGAGGAAATGAAAACAAAGCTAAGGTAAGGACAGAATGGAGGCAGGCACAGGAGCTACCCACATTAAAAACAGTTAAGTCCCTAAAACAGACTGAACAGGCTGTATTTATATACTTATGTGGTGGCGTACGCCTTTAATCCTAGCTCTCAGGAGGCAGAGGCGGGAGGATCTCTGTGAGTTCCAGGTCAGCCTGGCCTTCAGAGCAAGTTCCAGTACAGCCAGGCTGTATTAAAGAGGTCATGTCGCAAAAGGAAAAAAAAAAGAGGCCATGAATTTGAAGGGGAATGGGAAGGTTTGGAGGGAGGAAAGGGAAGAGGGAAATGATGTAATTTATATTTTAATTTAGAAAAGTTTTAAAACCTAAAAACAACAACCAAGTTCCAGATTGCAGGGCATTATTCAGAGACATGAAAATTACAAACAATAAATTTATTCAAAGTAATGGGCACTTTAAGGTTTGTTTGTTCGGTTTTTGGTTTTTCAAGACAAGGTTTCTCTGTGCAGCTCTGGCTGTACTGGAACTAGCTCTGGAGACCAGGCTGGCCTCAAACTCTCAGAGATCCACCTGCTTCTGCCTCCCGACTGCTGGGATTAAAGGCGTGTGCCACCACTGCTAGGCTAATGTTGCATTCTAAAAGCACTTTCACAGCATTATTTCAAATTTTGTTTTGAAACATGTATGCTTAATGAAAGAAATCATCTCTCAAGAAATGGAGCACTCTGTAGTTATAACCACATACGAAAAAAACCAACATTATCTAGATCTCTCACTTCTTTGATTTAATCTAGAGCAATATGTATATATGTATTTGGCTTCCTCTCCTTTGCTACCAGAAGGTAATCTTTCTTCAACTTATGTTTTCAAATGTATTTATCGTTTACTTTTAAAAAAAGAAGAAAAAATGGCTGTAAACAATAGATAAATTGCAGATCATTTAGTACACACACCGTACAGGCCCTTCAGTCCACCATGTTTTGTTAGTCCTTTATTTTCAACCAAGGAACAACAGACTGTCTCTAGCTGAAGAAACTTTAGAAGTCAGCTCAACTAGACGCTCAGTGGCCGATAATTTACCAATCCTGTCATATCCTGATGTTCTAAAGACACACTAACCAGTGCCTCCTCATTCACTAGTTCTTCTTCCTAAGCAAAAATCAAGACCTGTCAACATGTCAATCACCTCTCGTGTCTTCCTGCCCTTTATCGTTCAGGTGTCAGGTATATACTCAGAGAAAACAGTGCACTTTCCAGTGGTAACATGTTTAGTGACGAGCAGAGCATCTGCTGACTTTCAACCAGCATTAGCTACTCAGTTGCACAAACTGGAAACACAGAGCTGTGGCACCTCTTCCCTTTACTCTTACTGCTTGCTCCAAAGCTGTCCACGAAGCCTCCTCGCTTCCCTTCGCCTTCACTGACACCGCTTGTTTGATGACCTACTGCTTAGGAGTGTTCAGTGTTGAGAAGTTGAGCGCATACTCGAGGAGAGGAAGGAACAGTAACTCTTCTGTTCCACTTCCCCATTCTTTTTATTTTTCTATTCTTGTTTTATAATGTATATACTATGCCAACACCAAAGTGTGTGTGTGTCTGGTTAAGTAATATCAATTTGACTACTTTTCAGCAAGAATTGAAACAAAAAAAAAATTTTTTTTGAGACAGGGTTTTACTGGATAGCACAACTTCCAAAGATATTCCTTAAGAATATGGAGTTGGAGAGACAGCTCCATGGTTAAAAACACTGGCTGCTCTTCCAGAGGACCCAGGTTTGGTTCCTAGCACTCACATCAGGAAGCTCACAACTGCCTGTAAGTCCAGCTCCAAGGAATCTGACGTCTTCTTTGGGCCTCAGTGGGCAACTATACATACATGTATGGACACTCACACATACACATAAACATAAGAAATTCAATAAAAAACACCTCTGAATATATATACACCCATTTAGGACAGCCCATCAAAACTCAGGACTGTCCTAGTTACACAGGTCAGCTGGCTCCTTCTCCATGGGAACCCAATGCTCCTGGGCCCTTCTTTCTCTCTGCACAGTAATTCACTGTATTTTAAGTAAGTTGCTTACTAAGAAGCCTCAATATCTAAAATAACAAAGGACAGCAAATATATAAATAACAAGAGTTTGAAATTGGTTTTTGAAATTCATAAACTCACAAAATTTTATTGTAATAGTTTTAATGAGTTTAAAATAAACTGTACTTTCCACTGTAAGACTTACTACATAGCATTAAATACAAGGTTTTAATATGTATTAT